CATACATACATACATACATACATACATACATACATACATACATACATACATACATACATACATACATACATACATACATACATACATCTATAGAGAGATAAAAAGAGAGTTGAGTTCAATTAAAAACCAATTTTAGATTGTGAACTATGGGAAAGAAACTAGATCAATGATCAAAAATAAGAAACATAATCAATGGTTAAAACACAAAGTTATTTGACTTTTTCTTTTCTTTTTTTAATTAAATAACTTTTACCCCTTTAATTTTAAAATTAAATTATGTTAAATTTAATTAATACTTTAATTAAACAAAATAATTTAAAAATGAATATTTCATTCTTTTTTATTTGAATTCATCTCGATATAATCTGTTTTTTATCTGTTTTTTTACGTGAACTGGTATATCTGTGTAATATTCACCATGAATATTTATGCACGTTTACATGTATACAACAAATATTTAATATACATAAATCAGTATGATATTTATCATTAATATATAACTCGTTATAATATTTATCATGAATAATTATGTATTTTTACGTGTAATTAAAATAAAAACCCCTATTCAAACAAGACACTATAACATTCATCTAGTTTTTTTTGTTTATTAGGTTTTGATTGATCTTGTGAGTTCCTTATTTGTTTCAATAGGTTCCAAACTCATCTTGATAAAAGCTGAAAGTGGTATGTTATGGTTTTACACAAACTAGCACACAATAAATCAATCATAGGTTGTCAATTGGTCACGATGAAAAATGAAGGTGGTAGATTATGATTTTACAAACCAACCACACACCAAGTCAATGAATGGGTTCTTGATTAGTCGTGATTAGTCTCAACGGTTTCATGATTAGTCTGGATTGATCTTGATGAGTGCTTGATTAGTCTCAGTTGATCCCGATGGGTTCTCAATCGGTCTTGATGAGTTTTTTATTTTTCTTGATGGGTTCCCGGTCAATTTCGATAAAAGATGAAAGTGACAGGGTATAGTTTTACACACCTAAACATACACCACATCAATGAATGGATTCTTGACGAGTCTTGATAGGTTCTTGATCAATCTCGATCTCGATAGATGTTGGATTATGGTGATGAAAAACGTGGTGTCAAATACATATTTATACGTTGAAAAAAGTGTTCAAAGAGGTGATGGAACTAATGGAGTAACAAATGTATCATTTTGCTTGTTACACTAATTTCTATGCATTTGAGTCCCTACACTAGCTTAAATGTAGGAGAGTGATTGGAGATGTTGTTATGTATTTTCTCAAAACGATAATATTTAATTCCTTCCTGCTTCAATTCGTGTGATCCATACCCATACCAGCATTTCCAATAGAGATTTGGATAAGGAGAGAAGAGTATGGCAATGGAATCCATATGGTATTCGTTTACATGAGCTTGCAGTTGCTCCAAATTTCAAAGGTGTTTGTAATAACATCTTATTGGGGGAAGCAAAAAGCTTACAAGTACTTGATTCCATCGTTGAATTATTGGGAGCCGAAGGAATGGGAGAGATTACAGTTCAATATTCGGGTGGACTCGAAATCATCTTATCATTCAAGTCCTCGATGGAAGCAGAAAACTTTTCAAAAAAGGAAGTTTGGAAGAACTGGTTCGAGTGGTTAACGGAATATAATTACGATACGACGTTTGAGAAAAGGTTGGCGTGGGTAAGTCTCTTAGGTCTTCCCCCTCATCTAAGAATTGAATCTAACATCCAATCAATTTTGGGGAAATATGGTCATCTGCTTTCACTGATTGATTGCGAATGGAACTCTCCTGATATTTCATGTCTAAAAGCATGCATTCTCACTATTGTTCATAAAAAAAATTAGATGAGCATTTTTCTGTGAATTGGAAGAATAAATCGTATAGGATGTGGTTATCGGAGTTACAAGAATCATGGGTCCCGGATTTCACACGTGATAAGGAAGTCGTTGACGATTCGGATGAGGAGATGTCCTATCAAGATTCGGATGGTAAAGTTGCACAAAATTATGATGATTTCGAAATCTTTGAACGAGAGAATGCAATAAAATCGCCGGAGATGATGGCGCCGAAAATGGGGGAGGGGAATGACAAGTCGCTGGCAAAGTTGGTAGTTGAAGAGGTTGTTCTCGAAGAGGGAGAGATATCTATTACTCCTGGTCCCAAGAAAGTGGCTAATGATAAGGTTGGTTTCTTTTCCAAACAGAGTCAACATGAGCATTTATCAAAAAGTAGTGGAGAGGAGGCTGTAGACTCTTCTAAAAATGATGATGGGTATTTTGGCCTAGTTTCTAGTGGGCTGGGTGATCAAGAAGAGATTATGGCTAATGGGCCCAAGATTGTTAAAGATGATGGGATAAAAAAATTAAATGATGGTGACTTTTTAAAAGATAAGCCTAATGACTATGCCTTTGACCTGAATGTACCATTTACAGTGGCTTCCTCGTCAAGAAGTCAAAGGCAGAATTTTTTACTTTCTAGAAGCATGTCAAGGAGATCAAAGTTTAAAAATTCGTCAGCCATTATCTGGGATAATCGGAGAAATGAGAGGAATTGTGTTGGGTTTCTGGACTTCACAAATTGTATTCTCCAATCTCAACGATCTACATCTAGGATGTCAATTAGATCTACCCCTTTATCGGCAGCACCTGCGGTCGTGGTTACTGAACAGGAATCGGGTGAGCAAAGATTGGAAGAGAAGTTCTGGAAACAATGAATTTTGGAAAGGATATTGGTTTTCAGATGGACGGTTTTGAAGAAATAACCAGGCAGTTGCTAGCAGGAAATAAGGAGCAATCAAATGTTCCCCAATGAATATGATGTCTCTAAACGTAAGAGGTATTGGGGGTAATCAGAAAGAGGAATGGGTGAAAAGATTGATCAAACAACATAAGGTAAACTTCCTTTCGATTCAAGAAACTCAATTTGCGAATCCAGGTAATATCAATCCTTCAATTCTCTGGTGTAATTCAAATTTTGATTTTGAGGTTGTAGCTTCTCAAGGGAGATCGGGGGGTCTGGTCTGCATTTGGGACTCCAACTTATTTGTGAAATCTCAGTGTTTGAAACATTCCAATTTCATTATCGTTATTGGGCGTATAAAAGGGTTAAACACTGATGTTTTTGTGGTAAATGTTTACGCTCCTAGACAGCTCAATTCTATATTGAACTTGTGGACCGATTTAAGTAATCAGATTCATTCTAGGAGTGGTATATGGATTTTGATGAGAGATTTTAATGAATTAAGGGACAGAGGGGAGAGAATTGACTCAATTTTTTCCTCTGGTGGTGCAAATTTTTTTAATGGTTTCATAAGAGATTCTGAGTTACACAAAATTAAGCTTGGGGGAAGGTTGTATACTTGGATGAGTGACGATGGGATCTCTCTTAGTAAATTGGATAGATTTTTTGTCTCATCGGAGTTCTTGTCGATGTGGCCAGACGCAAATGCTACGATTCTTGCAAGAGAATATTCGGACCATTGCCCGATTGTTCTCACTTGCAATTCAGCGGATTTTGGTCCCACTTCGTTTCGGTTCTTTAATTCTTGGCTTGTTCATGAAGATATTCGGGATTTAGTTCATACTGCTTGGAATTCAATTAAGTGCAGGAGTACGGCTGATGTGACATTAGCAGCCAAATTAAGAACGGTAAAAGGGGCGATTAAGAAATGGAAGGTCGAGGTATTGTATAAAGAAAAATCTAGTATTGAAGAAATCAAAAAGAAAATTGATGATCTGGAAACAAAGGCAGAATCGAGTCCTCTTTCAGATGCTGAAATTGAAGATAGAAAAAATTGGAAGGCAGAAGCAAAACATCTGGAATATGCCAACACTTTGGATTTGAAACAGAGAGCCAGAGTGAAATGGGTGATCGATGGAGATGAGAACTCTTCTTTCTTTCATGGGGTTGTAAACGCAAACAGAAACAGACACAGGATTAATGGTCTCATTGTTAATGGGGTATGGGAAACTAATCCGAAGTCGATTCAGAATGAGGCGTTTGGGTTCTACTCAAACAAGTTTTGTGAACATATGCATTCTCGCTCAAAGTTTCAAAGTTCGTTATTCAAAAAACTTTCTGTTGAAGATAAGACCTTTATTGAAGCCCCGTTTTCCACGGAAGAAATTAAAAGGGCCATTTGGTCTTGTGGAAGTGAGAAAGCCCCAGGACCGGATGGATTTACTTTTAAATTCATCAAGCATTTTTGGTCTCTTGTCGAAAAGATGTGATCAGAGCAGTGGAATTTTTTGAAGTTCATGGCTATTTCTTTCAAGGATGTAATTCTTCTTTCATCTCTCTATTCCCCAAGATCAATGATCCTCTTGTAATAAAAGATTTTCATCCGATAAGCTTGATCGGTTGTGGGTATAAAATTGTAGCTAAGCTACTTTCCATGAGGTTGAGGTATGTAGTTGGAAAAGTAGTAAGTCCGGCACAACTAGCTTATATCGAAGGAAGACAAATGTTGGATGGGCCATTAATGCTTAACGAAGTTTGTAATTGGGCAAAAAGATCGAAAAATGAGATGTTTCTTTTTAAAGTTGATTTTGAGAAGGCGTTCGGTACTCTTAGCTGGAGTTTTATCGATTCTATGCTGGAACAAATGGAATTTGGCATTAAGTGGAGGACTTGGATCAACGGATGTCTTGCTTCTGCTAGAGCATCAGTTCTGATTAATGGAGCACCAACTGATGAATTCCCCATCTCGAGGGGGTGAGGCAAGGTGACCCCCTCTCACCATTCCTTTTTATCATTGCAATGGAGGGTTTGCATATCGCAATGATGGAGGCAACAAACAAAGGCTTTTTCCATGGAGTGTCTCTCCCAAACAATGGTCCCACTTTATCGCACTTTCTCTTCGCTGATGATGTAATTTTCCTAGGGAAATGGGTGGCGTCAAATATGTATACAGTGACCAGGCTGCTGAATTGCTTTTATCTCGCTTCAGGTCTAAAGGTGAACTTCTCCAAAAGTAAGGTGTTTGGCATTGGTGTACATGAAGATGAGGTACAAATCTTTTCCAATTTCCTTAAATGCGACCGAGCAAAGCTACCATTCTCCAATCTTGGGGTCACTGTGGGGGCAAACATGAACCTTGCTCGGAACTGGCAACCAATAATTGACAAGGTGAATAATAAACTTTCGAAATGGAAAGGAAAAAATTTATCTTTTGGAKRWAGGGTAACACTCTGTAAATCGGTCTTGGGCAGCATTCCATTGTATTTTTTCTCAAGTTTTAAAGCCCCCGGTAAAGTAATTGAGGCAATTTGAAAAAATAAGAAGAAGATTTATATGGGGCTTGAATGCATCTGGGAAGTCTAAGGTTAATTGGGTGAAGTGGCAGAATGTTGTTGCTCCTAAACAAATGGGTGGACTCGGAATTGGCTCGCTCAATGCTGCCAACATTTCTCTCTTGATAAAATGGTGGTGGAGGTTAAAGATAGAAGAGCATGCCTTATGGGCACAAGTTATTAAAGCGATTCATGGGGTGTCAGGTGCAGATTCAAACTCCATGGCTAATCCGAGGTGCTCTGGTGTGTGTGGCTAAATATCGTTAAGGCAGGTATGGCTCTAATCCCTCTTAATGTTGATTTAGATCGCTTATTCATTCGTGTTGTGGGTAATGGGGAGGAAACAAAATTTTGGATTGACAAATGGGCTGGTAACAATACTCTTAATAGTATGTTCCCTGACTTGTTTATTTTTGAAAGAAATAGATCATGTTTCATTGTTGATCGATATACTCCAAATAGTAGCAACGGTAGGTTATGGAATTGGTCTTGGTTGGAAAGTCCAATCGTTAATAGCAAACTTTCAGATAGAGTTACCGAATTACAAAATTTGGTAAGGAATTATGAGTTCTCTAACGGTAGGGATAAATGGATATGGGTGGGGGATAGTATTGGGATCTTCACTGTCAAATCTATGAGAGCTATTTTGGATGACAAACTTAATGGTAATGTTGTGGGGCAATCAATATGGTGCAAATGGCTTTCGATAAAAATAAATTGCTTCTTATGGAGGCTTTTTCTGAGGAGAATTCCTACAAGACAAAATCTTAGTTCAAGAGGTATACAATTGCAAATTGATTCTTTCCCGCTCTGTGGAAGAGAAGTGGAAACGGAAGAACATCTTTTTTACGTCTGTGAAAAATCAAAAGAGATATGGAGATGGGTCGAGAGATGGTGTGATATAAACTCTGGCAATCATTCTTCCCTTGATCAGATGGTGGTCAATCTGATTGAATGTGCCAAATCGAAGAAGCAAAGAAAAATGATCAAGGCACTTATCATGAGCATTCTTTGGTTTACATGGAAGGCAAGAAATGATGTGATCTTCAATAACAAAAGGTTATCGTGGGAAGCAGTGATGGTGGATTCGCAAGCTATGCTTTTTACTTGGATTAAATTTAGATCTAAATGTAATATTGTTTGGTCTAGATGGGGTTGTAATCCGTTAGCTTTGTTTTAACTCTTTTGTATCTTTTCTAGCGCCTTGCTAGTTTTATTATAGCTTTTTTAGGGTGTTTGGGGGGGTGATGGTCATGCCGAATCTCTTTTCCTAACACTCTTTCTTTTTGCCGTTCAAAAAAAAATCGCGATATTAAATGAACCATTTTGTAAGCAATCAATTAAACGGACCATTTTGTAACTACCATCTTCATGTAATTTTAAATTACACTACAACAAAATCAATTTTATAGAACGTCTAAATTAAAAAGAGTCTTAGAAAAATATATTTTTATATGACATAAGTTTGTAAATTCAAACCAAAAAACGCTACTAGAAAACTGGCCATTTCCGGCGCATTTTCCAGGGGACGGAATCCGCCGGTAATTTTCCGGCGGATTTCCGTGGGACACTTTTAGAATTTTCCTACAGATTTCCGACAGAGTCCATCAATATGTTTTAGAAAATAATTTTTTAGTTAATTATAAAAATCTGTAGGAAATCCATCGGAAAGTCTTAAAATTTTCCTACAAATTTCCGACAGAATCCATCAATGTGTTTTAGAAAATAGTTTTTTTAATTAATTATAGAAAATAGTTTTTTTAATTATAAAAGTCCGGCTAAAATCGATCGGAAACTTTTAGAATTTTCCTACAGATTTCCGACAGAGTCCATCAATATGTTTTAGAAAATAATTTTTTAGTTAATTATAAAAATCTGTAGGAAATCCATCGGAAAGTCTTAAAATTTTCCTACAAATTTCCGACAGAATCCATCAATGTGTTTTAGAAAATAGTTTTTTTAATTAATTATAGAAAATAGTTTTTTTAATTATAAAAGTCCGGCTAAAATCSATCGRAAACTTTTAGAATTTTCCTACAGATTTCCGACAGAGTCCATCAATATGTTTTAGAAAATAATTTTTTAGTTAATTATAAAAATCTGTAGGAAATCCATCGGAAAGTCTTAAAATTTTCCTACAAATTTCCGACATAATCCATCAATGTGTTTTAGAAAATAGTTTTTTTTTAATTAATTATAAAAATCCATCTGAAACTTTTAGAATTTTTCTACAGATTTCCGAGAAAATCCGTCAATATGTTTTAGAAACTAATTTTTTAGTTAATTATAAAGATCCGTGCGAAATGATTGCGAAGTTGTGAAATTGTTAAGTCTTTTACCGAGCAGATACGCATATACCATATGTCTCTCATCGGAAAAGAGTGAAAATCCGTCGGAAATGAACACCAACAAAGTTCTTAAGGATTCCCGACGGAATCCAATATCTGATTCTAATGAATAATTCTTAATTAATTTTAAAAATCCATTAGAAATTCTAAGAATTTCCTATGGATTTCCGACGAAATGCAATATCTGATTTTAATAAATAATTTGTTAATTACTTTTAAAAATCCGTTGGAAACCACTACCAAGGCTTTCAGATGGAAATTGTCGTCGAAAATACTTAAAATTCCGCCGAAAATGATCATCGGAGAAGTTTTCCCACCAGATAATTTCCGACGGTCAGTTTTCGTAGGCGATCCATCGGATATGGCCATTTTCAATGGGTTTCTCACGAAAATTGCCGTCGATGAAAGTCTCGTTTTTTAATAGTAAAATGGATCAGAGCCTCAAAACTGGACCAGTTGAACACCACCCCCTCCCATCAAGGGCCTACTTAGTGGACAAGGCAAGTGCATAAAAGATCGCCAGAATTATTGTCAATATCTGTCCATGATGTCTGAATAAGGCAAGCATCAGTCAGCCAACGGACACATCGGTCTGAATATGACCTGTCAAAACTCACCAATATCTATTATTACCATTAAGTCCTACCAAAACCGATTAAGACCCACATACACGAAATAAGACGACTGTCTTAAAGCCTATTAAGCCTGATTATGAACCATTAAAACCAAATGTGCGTCGTTAATACCATCAAGACCGTTAGCATATTAAGAAATAGATGTCGGAAATCCGTTGGTAAAATATGCAAATTACTTACGGTTAAGGGTGTATGCAGGTTGGGTTGAGTGATTTACGGTATTTTTATAAACCAACTTAATTATGACGGTTTGGAAAAATCTCAAGTCAACCATTCAAAAATATAACCCAACCCTTGCGGGTTGAGACTGTTTGGGTTAGGTTGGCGGGTTAATTAATTGTTACGTAAATTGGACGAATGAAGTGATTCATAAGACTTAACTTTATAAGACCAAACTGTAAAGCATCGTATCGAAAACAATTACAATAGGTTAATATGACGTTTTTGGGCGTCTCAACAAGTTTTTATAACGATTTTTAAAGAAAGTGTTGTATTATTATTTTATAAAATAATTTTGAGAAGGGTCCTGTAAACTCATAGGTATAGGACGCTTGTGTTCATATATATATATGGCATTTTTTCAAATAGTGTCGTGTAAAATAATTAATATGACATTTTATTTTAAAAACGTTCTAAAATTTTGTTAAGAGACTCAAAAGCGTCTTTTAACATATTGTAACACTTCTAGACATGACATTTTTTTGTTTCGTCCTAAAAAATATGATATTAAGACGCTTAGACATGTTAATGGATTGGGAATCAGCGATGGATTATTGAATAGAGGTGAGCATAGGCGGGTACCAGCCCTTTTTGACAGGAACCAGAACCGGAACCGGAACCGGCGGTTCTTGAGATATTGGAACCGGAACCGGTTAGAGCGGTTCTTAAATTTTTGGAACCGGAACCGCCGGGAACCGGTTCCGGTTCCGGGTACCCGCTTCCTAAAATATTAAAATTTTGTTATTTAGAAATAAAAAATAAAACATTGCCAAAACACTAAATAAATAAGCAAGAATACAAATTATACAGAATAATGGTTACAAATATTGATTAAGGATTACAAACCATAATAGACTAATAGAAAATGTTCAAAGTTTAACGATTACATACGATAATGGTAATTGTTCAAAGTTTAACGATTACATACTATGAATCCAAATGAACACACAATTTGAAAAAATACGAATCATTTTATATATGAAGAATTTAGATGAAGATTGAAGATGACGACGTGCTTTTAAGATGTAAACCTAATATAAATTTGGTATTAAAAAATTATTTTTTTTTTTTATTGAAAAATACCGGGTACCCGGCGGGTAACGGTTCCGAAAAATTGAGAACCGGAACCATTCTCAATCGGTTCCGTATTTTAGGAACCGGAACCACTTATATCGGTTCCGGTTCTGGAACCGACGGTTCCAAGGCGATTCCGGTTCTATAGCC